ACTTTAGCTGCTGCAGATGCTGTTTGAGGAAGCTCTGCCTCTTGGGAGCTCTGATCCTGTGCTTAGTACTCTTAGCCTGGTGCAGGTGAGACCCTGGAGGAAAGGGAGACCTGAGGAGCCAAGGCTTTGGTGATGCTGCAGAAAGAGCCTGAGGCTGGAGGGCAGCCAGAAGAGCTTGGGTGTGGCTCACCAGTGTGGGCTTGCCTTTCTGGGGTCCGCTTTTTCCTGCCTGAAATGGCTGAATTTTGGTGTCTTGCTTGGCCCGCAGGGCTCCGGCATGAGGATCATGTGAGCTGAAGGCTGGGGAAAGGCTCAGTTTGTAACAGCTGTTGTGTTTGTTTGACCCCAGCTCAGCCCCAATGGGAAGATTCGGGACCTGCTCTCTCCAGGGACAGAGAACCTGTCGGTGCTGGATGTGACCCCTCTGGGCTTGTGAGTGTCCAGGGCCCAACAGGGTCCAAGGATGCTTGTACTAAGGCAGGGTCGACACCCCCAAACCAGGCCCTTGGAGGTTTCTCCCCACTGCCACCCTAGAGGAGGGAAGCTCTGAGTTTGGGGTCATGCTTAGAGAGCTCAAGTTTGCTCCCAGGACTCCTTCTCACCCTCTTCCCTTCATCCTAGATCCCCATTCCTCTCGCTCCTCTCACCCATCCACTTAAACCTCTTTAACGCAGTCATTATCATTCTGGGTGATGCAAGCCTCTCTCCGAGCAGAACTTAGTTCAGTTTCTCCATCTGTAAGATGGGAGCAATCCCAACTACCCTGGTTGCCTCACTGGGCAGATGACAGGACAAAAAATAAGGTCATGAAGGCTTTTAGGGGATATAGTGATCTTGGAGCCTTGGGGATAATTCTTACAGGCTTTGGGACCCCCATGGGCTCCCCAGGCAGAAGTTCTGGGGAACTCTGGTGCCTAAGAGCTGAGCTCAGCCTCCCCTTCCCCCAGGGTGGTGCAAGACGCCAATGAAGTGGAGGTGTCCGACTCAAGAGCTGCCTCAGAACTGTACTTTCAGGCCACAGGGGGTGAAGGCAGGTAAGGACAAGAGGGCACCTGTCACTTCCTCCCTCTTAGACATGTGGCCTGATCCTAGCCTCTCCTCCACAGGGCCTGCTCTCTGCTTACTGTCACTATGTCCCGCCCAGGGCCTGACCCTCCTAAAGGTCCTGGGACTCAGAGTGTATGGCGAGGGGCCTTGAGGATCTTGCAGCTCCCAGGAGCTCTGTAAGTCTGACAGCTTTGGGGCGGGGTGGTGGTGACTGAAATATGGATGTCGAGATTCAGAGCAGCATCTGAGTCTTCTCCTTTCCTCACCTCCAGCAGGCCAAAGGACTCTCTTTAGCATTTCTTGTAAGGCAGGTCTACTAGCAATGAGCTCCTTCTGCTTTTGCTTATCTGGGAATATCTTAATTTTTCCTACATTTTTGAAGGATAGTTTTTGCCAGATATAGAATTCTTAGTTTCTTTCAGAGCTTTAAACATGTCATCTTACTGCATTCTGGCCTCCATAGTTTTGTTGTTGTTGTTGCTGTTTTTAATATATCTTTATTGATTTCAGAGAGAGGAAGGGGGGGCGAGAGAGAGAGAGTCAGAAACATCCATGATGAGAGAGTCATTGATCGGCTGCCTCCTGCACCCCCCGCTGGGGATCGAGCCCTCAGCCCCTGGCATGTGCCCTGACCAGGAATCAAACCGCAGTCTCCTGGATCATAGATTGATGCTCAACCGCTGAGCCATGCGCACTGGGCTGGCCTCCGTAGTTTTAGATGAGAAATTTGTTTTTCAGTCTTATTGAAGATCTCTTATACATAACAAGTTGCTTCTCTCTTGCTGTTTTCAAGATTCTCTCTGACTTTGGCTTTTTTTGTTGTTAATCCTCACTGAGGACATTTTTTTCCCATTGATTTTTAGAGAGAGTGGAAGGGAGAGATAGAGAGGGGGCAGAGAGAGACAGAGACAGAGACAGAGAGAGAGAGAGAGAGGGAGAGAGAGAGAGGGAGAAACATCAATGTGAGAGAGATACATCGATTGGTTGCCTCCTACACACCCCCCAACCGGACCAGGGACTGAACCTGCAACCCAGGTATTACGTGTCCTTGACTGGAAATCGAAGCCCTGGCCCCTTGGAGCATGGGCTGACACTCTAACAACTGAGCCACACCAGCCAGGGCTGACTTTGGCATTTGACACTTTGATTAAAAAGTGTCTTGGTGTGTATCTCTTGGAGTTCATCCTCACTGGAATTTTTTGAACTTCTTGGTTGTATAGAGTCATCATATCTTTCATAAAACTTGGGGAGTTTTTGAGCAGTTTTTCCTCAAATATCTTTTCTGCCCCTTTCTCTCTCTCTTCTCGCTATGGGCTCCCATCATGCAGGTTTGTATACTTGATGTCATCCCACAGGTCTCTTAGACTCATTTTCCTTCATTCTTTTTTCCTTCTGCTCCTCAGACCAGATAATTTGACCTACTGTATCTTTAAATTGGTTGGGATTCTTTCTTGCACCTGCTCAAATCTGCCCTCTAGTGGATTTTTAATTTGTTATTGCACTTTTCAGCTCTAGAGTTTCTATTTTTTTTAAAAAATAACTTCTGTCCCTTCTATTGATATTCTCTATTCACTGAGACATCATTGTCTTGATTTTCTTTTGTTTCCTGAGCATATTTAAGATAGTTGAATTACAGTCTTCATCTAGTGAATTAATGTCCAGATAGTTTCTGTTAATTCCATTTTTTCCCCTATGTATGAATGAGCCATACTTTCTTGTTTCTTTGCATGCCTCATATTTTTTTGTTGGAAACTGGCCAATCTGAGTATTGTTTGCAAAGATTGAATTCTCCATTGTGTTGGTCTCTTGAGTCTCCATCCTTCCCCTTAGTGCTCTCACATTTTTATTATGGTGATGTGGTAACTCTAAACACCAGACCCGCCCTCCTCTCCAGGGTTTGCATTGCAGCTTGTGGTGGGATGGAGCCATCTGTTTGCTTAGTTAGCTTTCCGAACAACTTTTGCAAAGGCTGTATTCTTTGTGGTCATCAAAGTCTCCATTCTAATCTTAGTGGTTAGCCTGACAGAATTCCTTAAACTCCTGGGAGAAAAATCAAACAAACAAAACCCCCTTATTTTAAAAAAGGAAGAAAGAGAGAAAGGAAAGGGAATGAGAAGCAGGAGGAGGGGTAGGGTGAGGAGAACAAGGAAAGAAGAAATCCCCCAGGTTTCTACAGATTGGCTCTAGGTTGGGTCAGTCCTATGCTTAGGCCACTTATAGTTCCCGCTTAGCCTCACTTCTGGCTTTTACTGAGCCTAAAAATCAGCCAGAGGTGAAAGCTTATGGTCTTCTCAGGGCTTTTTTGAGCGTCCAGCCTGCCCTGGGCACGTGCATGACTTTCTTTCTTTTTTTAATATTCACCTGAGGATATTTTTTCCATTGCCTTTCCAGAGAGTGGAAGGGGGAGAGGGAGAGAGAAACATTGATGTGGGAGAGACACATCGGTTGGCTGCCTCTTGCGCGCACCCCGACTAGGGTGGAGCCTGCAACTGAGGTACATGCCCTTGGCCGGAATTGAACCCAGACCCTTCAGTCTGTGGGCTGACGCTCTAACCACTGAGCCAAAACACATGCATGACTTTCTAGGTTTCCCAGTACACATGGGAACTTTTTAAAGTCCTTATTTCCCCCAAATCTCACTCTCCAACTTTTCCTTTGAATCTGTTCATGTATCTATTGTTTACTCCTACTGTTATTTTTGGTTGTTCTTTCATCTTCCAATGTTTTGGGGGGGTTATGTTTTTAAAACAATGTTTTCAATGTTTTATGTTCTCTGGTGTAGCTGCTCTGCCCTGAAAGAGTTCCAAGGTAAGTGAAACAAAGGAAAGCCCCTTTTGTCAGTGCTTTGGGGGAGACGCCAACCAGTCAAAACAGATAAACACAATTCCTTGGGAACAAGATCTGCTCTGCTCCCTCCAGAACTAGGCACCCTCACCAGAGATGTGGGCTGTTGTCTACAAGACCACTTCTGTTCTGGGGAGGAGGTTAGGGCTAGGGTAAGTTAAAACGTCACAAAAGTCTCTTACCATATGGAAGTTGCCTTTCTCCCAGAATTCTAGCAAGGTTGATTCTGGCCATTTTTGCCAGATGTTTGTGGGGAGAGACTGACTCCCAGAGTTCCCTACTCTGCCATTTTTGTTGATGTCACCTTGCTTTGCCATTTTAAAACTGGGTTGTCTTTTTCTTATTGAGGTGTAAGAGCTCATTGAACATTCTGGATGCAAGTGTAGTTAAATAATAATAATCAAATAAAAATCCATACAAGGTTGCAAATCTGTGGGATGTTGCACAGAAATTACTGGAAATAGTCTAACTTTCCATCAGAGTGTGATTGGGACAGTTTCTTCCTTTGGCAGAGACTGCCCCCTGCTGCAGGTGTTGGCGGGTGAGCTTGCTGAGGAGGAGGAGGGCTCTCTGCCCTGGGTTGTCTCATGGCTCCTGGAAGGAAACAACTACAGTGGTCTTCTTCTTCGCTTGGACCTTCAAGGTGGCCTGGGGGACCGTGTGGGGTTCCTTGGGAAGCTCTGGGGTCCGGCCTTACGCCTGTTCCACCTTCTCACCCAACCAGCCAAAGCCCCACCCTAGCCCAGAGACAGCCTGACTCTGCAACGGACAGGATTCGGAAAGGTCCCAGGGTGGCCAGCCTGCAGAATTCTGCAGAGGCAGGGCCAATAGTAAAAGCAGCCCCCACCCTTCAGAGGCCTTCAACAGTTTACCAAGCTTTTTTACACTGACTAATACCTTTGGTTCTTACTAAAACTCCATGAGGCAGATCTGATTTACAGATGAGGAAAGGGAGCATGAGAGAAGGAAAGGCACCCATTAAACACAAAACTCTGGCCCCTGACACACTCATTTGGCCAACACATGCCCAGACCTCCCGTGTGAGAGGTCCTGTGGAATGTGCAGGATAAGCTGGGGCAGTTCACACCCTCAGGGACAAAGCAGTGAGGGACAGGCACATGCTTACAGGCCAGTTTGGTATCACGATTAAGGGCACAGGCTTTAGTGTCAGACAGACCTGGGCTTGACTTTCAGCTCTGCTTGTCACCAGGAAGTTGCTTGACCTCTCTGAGCCTTAGTTGCCTCATCTGGAACCCGGGGGGGCGGCGGGGGG